TTAGTGACGGTGGGGGGGGATTAGAGCCTACCTGTCTGTCTGCTTCCTCTCCCCGCCTGCTGCTCCTTCCCCTCGCTGGGCTCTGTGTGAGAGGAGTAAACAGGAAGTGAGGTCACTTCCTGGCCCCGCCTCTCCCATCACACAGAGCCGCATGGGAGAGGAAGCAGGAGACCTGGCAGAGAGCAGGTGAAGCTGCCAGGTCTCATGGGGGGGGTGTGACTAGCAGAGCGGTAGGTTGTGGGGCCCCAAGCTGCATCAGGGGCCCCACAACCTATCAATTAAATAATTTTTTATTTTTTTATTTTGCTGTTCCAGTTGGAGAGATCTCTGATGTCTCCAGCTGGAACAAGGCTGTGCTGCCGGGCCCCTGACTGCCTCGGGCCCTCGGTCCATGACCGATATGCCCGAGTGGTCAGTCCGCCCCTGTTACTAGCCCAGAAGCAGGGTGCAAGTATATAAGAGTGTGTGTCAGTAGTCCAAATACTGTGTTACTAGCCGGGAGACAGTATACCAGACTGCGTGTCAGTAGCCCAAATACTGTATAACTAGCCGCAGAGGCAGGGCACCAGTATATTCGATATGTCAGTAGCCCAGATACTGTACTACTAGCCCAGAGCCATGGTGCCAGTTTATCAGAATGTAAAAGTGATAGTAGGAGCCGCACTCAATCCCAGCAGCCACCGGTGCTCTGGAGCAGGACCAGCAATCCCACAACTAAGGCAACAAAAGAAATGTTCCAGGCACTCAAGGTGTTAAAGCTGCAGGAACAAAAAGAGCAGCAGGTCGAAACGTTTCTGCTCTTTTATGTTCCATTAAAACTGCCTGCGGCTTTGACACCTTGAGTGCTTGTAGAATTTCTTGTGTTTCAGTATATCAGAGTGTGTCATTAGCCCAGATAATGTGTTACTAGCCCAGAGGCAAGACAACAATATATCAGTGTGTGTAAGAAGCCCAGATACTGTAAAAAGAGCCCAGTGGTTGGAAACGTGAATTTCAGAGTTTGTGTCAGTAGCCCAGATACTTGATAACTAGCCTAGAGGTAGGGCACCAGTATATCAGAATGAAGGCAGACTGTCAGTCCCAGTAGCCAGGCTAGCAATCAGTCAGTCCCAGTAGCCAGGCTAGCAGTCTGTCAGTCCCAGTAGCCAGGCTAGCAGTCTGTCAGTCCCAGTAGCCAGGCTAGCAGTCTGTCAGTCCCAGTAGCCAGGCTAGCAGTCTGTCAGTCCCAGTAGCCAGACTAGCAGTCTGTCAGTCCCAGTAGCCAGACTAGCAGTCTGTCAGTCCCAGTAGCCAGGCTAGGAGTCTGTCAGTCCCAGTAGCCATTCTAGCAGTCAGTCAGTTCTAGTAGCCAGGCTAGCAGTCTGTCAGTCCCAGTAGCCAGGCTAGCAGTCTGTCAGTCCCAGTAGCCATTCTAGCAGTCTGTCAGTCTCAGTAGCCAGGCTAGCAGTCTGTCAGTCTCAGTAGCCAGGCTAGCAATCAGTCAGTCTCAGTAGCCAGGCTAGCAATCAGTCAGTCTCAGTAGCCAGGCTAGCAGTCAGTCAGTCTCAGTAGCCAGGCTAGCAGTCTGTCAGGCTAGCAGTCAGTCAGTCAGTCTCAGTAGCCAGGCTAGCAGTCTGTCAGTCTCAGTAGCCAGGCTAGCAGTCAGTCAGTCTCAGTAGCCAGGCTAGCAGTCTGTCAGGCTAGCAGTCAGTCAGTCTCTGTAGCCAGGCTAGCAGTCAGTCAGTCTCAGTAGCCAGGCTAGCAGTCTGTCAGGCTGGCTGTGTGTAGAGCATGTCTTTGTGTTTGTACACAGAGCTCAGCCAGTTAGACCTTCCCTCCATTGTGCCTGATTGGCTGCAGCTCAGTGAGTGAGCGGCTTAGGGGGAACACAGCAATGTCAGCCATTTTTCAATTGTGTGTTGCAGCCAGCAGCCTGTTCTCTCTCCAGCTAGCGGGGAAGGTAAGTTTCTGTTTGCCCATCGCAGTCCCTAAACCGCCCGGAAAGCAGCCCTAACCCACCCCCCAGCCTGTACCCCGCTCCCAGGGGCCCCCTCGCCCCATTCCCAGCCCCTGACACAAACTTTTTGGGCTGTAAAGGACTGAGTGGATGTTGCCCCCTTCCTCCCCTGCTCACTCCTCTCTCAGACAAGGAGCTTGTTTTCTCTGTCTCTCCTCCTGCCTACCCGGGGCATCTTTATTCGATAAAATATTCCGAATCCGAGAATATTTCCCCCCTGGAGCACCACCATGCTGCCCCTCACACCCCCAGGTAACCGCCTGTGGGGCCACAGAGGACTTTCCCATGGGGTAAAGTGCCTTAAAACCGTGGCAAATGCCCCCTCCGATGTCCCTGTGCTCCCCAGTTGTTGCAAAGCTTCACCATCTTGTCTTTTTCTGGTCACCATATTTATTCCCTTTCCAGCAGATTCCTGTCTGGCTGGGTGAAAGCTGGGGAGATCTGCTCTCTGGGTGACTTTTTCTGTTAATACTGCTTTTCTAATCCATGCTCAGACCCCAGCAGGCTCTGACAGTGTGTATTTGCCCCTTTTGGGGTGGATTTGTACACGTGGGGCAGTTTGCTGCATTGTATCTGTGAGATTGTTACATTGTAACATTAGCTTCCATGAGGGTTCTATTCATGGAACTCACTGAGCTCAGCCTGAGACCCACACATCACTGAGATCCTCACTGCTCAGAGCCCCCCAAACTTTATCCCTGCACCCCCACATCACTCACTAATTTATAGGGGGGTCTGCACCCCTGATTTACTTGGCAGAGCAGGGGGTACGAGCTGGGGAGAGGGAGGGGGAGGCTTGTTGCATTGGATCCCAGCTCTGTGTAGATCACTATCTGCTCACATTGGGGTGATCTTAAAACAGTTTCCCTATTAACAATCCCATTGCTTTGTTCCACAAAACAGAAACAATTTTGGTTACATTGTATTTTTTTTTTTCTATTTTTTTATTTATTTTTTTACTTTGGGCTAATTTGTCACATTTTCCTGTATCCAAAAGAGATCAGAGAATTACCATCTGGAGTAGTGTGGGGACTGATCACTAGAGTCCCAGGTACAGGGGGATCAGTAAGGAGGTTTATGGGGGGCTCTATTCAAGCACAGGGGCTGTGCCCCCCCTGGAGCATGTTTTTTTCTATGCTAATGAGTAATATGGGCTGGATCTGAGCACAGAAAGCAGCCAGCTAGCGCCACAGTTTGAAAACCGGTCATCTTAGGTGAATGGGAGCTTATGGAGAATCCTGAGCTTTATAGATCATAATTCTGAATTCACAGTAATATCTGCCATTTCATTTCAATTTTATTTACATGCAGTTTTCTAATCCCTCTGCCCTCTCCTTTGCAATGGGGGGGAATCAGGTTTAGGAGCTTGAAGGAAGATGGCCCGTACCAAGCAGACTGCCCGTAAGTCCACTGGTGGCAAGGCCCCCAGGAAGCAGCTGGCCACCAAGGCAGCCAGGAAGAGTGCGCCCTCCACTGGTGGGGTGAAGAAACCCCATCGTTACAGGTAAACTGGGCAGGGGGGGGAGAAAGAAAGGGGGGGGGGGTGCGCATGCGTACTGTGTAAGCACTGCACAGCTCTCCAGGGATCAGATTCTAATTCAGATACACGTTTTATTTAATCACAATATAATTACATGCAATAATACTTTTATACACACAGCTTCGCTGACAACTTTTTTTATTTTTGCATTTTTTTATTTTTTTTTATTATTGCATTTTTACTTTTTTTTTTTTTCCCCCAACTGAATTTATAATTATTGGCTCTGTATTTTGCTAATGACAGTGTGCTCAGCACTGTGTAAAATAGCAAAACAGGGCATTTTCTTATGACACAGTGATAATTTTTAGCAATCTCTTACATATATGTCTCAATGACGTGCACCAGCAAAACAAAGTATATTTAGCTTCATTATGTAAATATAATTTAATTTTATTAGTTTAATTTTTTTAATTTATTTTTTTATTATTCTGTGGTGTTGGTATGTGTTTTGATGTGTCTGTGCTGTTGGTAGATGCCCATTACCCAGGTGTGATGTAGATGGGCAGCGAGCTGGGCTGGGGGGGCTCATTCTGCAGAGGTCTCCTTAGTCCGCTGTTATTGGCACCGTTCCCACCTATCCGGGAGACTGTGTACAGCGACAGGGGTTTACGGTGCATTTCCACACAACTGCCGCTAGAGGGCAGCAGTACGCATGAGTTTTCAGAAACCGGCTGCTGTGGGTTTAACCCATTCCATGCTGGAACCAAAATACACTTTAAGATTTCCTGCTAATTTTATTTTTTTTTCCCCAAAAAATTATTCAGTGAAATGTTTCTTGTCAGAATTGCAAAGCGAATTTCAGTTTGTATGTCAATTGACCCAAATTAAAAACCATTCTCCCAGGCTAGCTATGTTTTAATTGTTCCGCTACTTTAGCCAGAAATGTCAAATTCGCTTTGAATTCACCGCAGTTAACACCTTGTTCAAATAACCCACTGGAAAGTGTTGAGGATTTAAAGTGAAGTTCAAATTTAAGGCCAATACTGTGTAGCTGAATTTCAAATGTAAGGCAAGAGTAGCCAAACTGGAAACACAGCTGACTTAGAGAGAATGTTTCCAATTCGGCTACTTTGACCTTAAATTTGAAATTCAGTTTGAATTCACTTTAGTAAAAAATCCTGATAGACTTT